ATGCAAGAGAAAAAATATCCAAAGCCTCAAATTCAAGAAAAAAAAAAATATCCAAAGCCTCAAATAGAAGATAAAAATATCCAAAGCCTCAAATGCAAGAGAAAAAAATATCCAAAGCCTCAAATGCAAGAGAAAAATATCAAAAGCCTCAAATGCAAGAAAAATATCAAAAATGCAAGAGAAAAATATCCAAAGAAATAGAAAAAAAATATCCAAAACCTGAAATCAAGATAAAAAATCCAAAGCCCTTCAAATGAGAAAAAAATATCCAAAACCTCAAATAGAAGAAAAAATATCCAAATCCAAAGAAGAGAAAAATATCCAAAACCTGAAAAAAGAGAAAAAATATCCAAAGCCTCAAATAGAAAGAGAAAAATATCCAAAGCCTCAAATAGAAAAGAAAAATATCCAAAGCCTCAAATGCAAGAAAAAAATATCCAAACCTAAAAAAAATATCCAAAAATAGAAGAAAAAAATATCCAAAGCCTCAAATGGAAGTGAGAAAAAATATCCAAAGCCTCAAATGCAAGAGAAAAAATATCCAAAGCCTCAAATAGAAGAGAAAAATATCCAAACCTAAATCAAAAGAAAAAATATCCAAAGCCAAATTAAGAGAAAAATATCCAAAACCTCAAATAGAAGATAAAAAATATCCAAAGCCTCAAATAGAAGAGAAAAATATCAAAAGCCTCAAATAGAAGAAAAAAAATATCCAAAGCCTCAAATAGAAGAGAAAAATATCCAAAGCCTCAAATACAAGAGAAAAATATCCAAAGCCTCAAATACAAGAGAAAAAAATATCCAAAGCCTGAAATAGAAGAGAAAAATATCCAAAGTCAAAATACAAGAGAAAAAATATCCAAAGCCTGAAATTCAAGAGAAAAAATATCCAAAGCCTCAAATGCAAGAAAAAAATATCCAAAGCCTCAAATGAAGATAAAAATATCCAAAGCCTCAAATCAAGAGAAAAAAATATCCAAAGCCTCAAATGCAAGAGAAAAATATCCAAAATTTGAAATCAAGATAAAAAAATATCCAACGCCCAAATAAAGAGAAAAATATCCAAAAACCTCAAATAGAAGATAAAAATATCAAAAGCCTTCAAATAGAAGAGAAAAATATCCAAAAGCCTCAAATAGAGAAAAATATCCAAAGCCTGAAATTCAAGAGAAAAAATATCCAAAGCTTCAAATGCAAGAGAAAAAATATCCAAGAGAAAATATCCAACGCTCAAATAGAAGATAAAAAAATATCCAAAGCCTGAAATTCAAGAAAAAATATCCAACGCCTCAAATAGAAGATAAAAAAATCCAAAGCCTGAAATTCAAGAGAAAAATATCCAAATATCAAATATCAAGAGAAAAAAATATCCAAAGCCTCAAATAGAAGAGAAAAATATCCAAAGCTCTGAAATACAAGAGAAAAAAATATCAAAGCCAAATTCAAGAGAAAAAAATATCAAAGCCTCAAATAGAAGAATATCAAAGCCTCAAATGCAAAAAAATATCCAAAGCCTGAAAAGAGAAAAATATTCAAAGCCTCAAATAAGAGAAAAATATCCAAAACCTGAAACAAATAAAATTCAAGAAATAAAAAAAATATCAAAACCTCAAATACAAGAAAAAAATATCCAAAAGCCTCAAATTCAAGAGAAAAATATCCAAAGCCTCAAAAAATATCAAGAGAAAAAAAAAAAATATCCAATGCTTCAAATGCAAGAAAAAATATCAAAAGCCTCAAATTCAAAGAACGAAAAAAATAAAGCTTCAAATGCAAGAGAAATATCCAAATGAAGAGAAAAATATCAAAACCTGAAATTAAGATAAAAATCTCCAAAGCCTTCAAATAGAAAAAAAAATATCCAAAGCTCCAAATAGAAGAAAAAAAATATCCAAGAGCCAGTCAAAATGCAAGATAAAAATATCCAAAGCCTCAAATTCAAGAAAAAAATATCCAACGCCTCAAATGAAGAGAAAAATATCCAAAGCCTCAAATTCAAGAGAAAAATATCAAAGCCTCAAATAGAAGAAAAATATCCAAAGCCTGAAATTCAAGAGAAAAAATATCCAACGCCTCAAATGCAAAGAGAAAAATCCAAAGCCTCAAATAGAAGAGAAAAAAATATCAAAGCCTGAAATTCAAAGAAAAATATCCAAAGCCTCAAATAGAAGAGAAAAATATCCAAAGCCTCAAATACAAGAAAAATATCCAAAGTAAATCAAAAAAATATCCAAGCCTCAAATACCAAAGATAAAAATATCCAAAGCCTCAAATAGAAGAGAAAAAATCCAAAACCTCAAATTCAAGATAAAAATCAAGAAAGCTCAAATGCAGAGAAAATATCAAAATAAAAGAGAAAAAATATCCAAAGCTTCAAATGCAAGAGAAAAAATATCAAAGCCTCAAATGTTTCAAAAATATCCAAAGAGAGAGAAAAAATGCCTCAAATGCAAGATAAAAATATCAAAGCCTCAAAAGAAGAGAAAAATATCCAAAACCTGAAATTCAAGAGAAAATATCCAAAGCCTGGAAATTCAAGAGAAAAATATCCAATGCCTCAAATGCAAGAGAAAAATATCAACGCTTCCAAATAGGTTATATGTTGTCTCAAAGCCTGAAATTCAAGAGAAAGTATCCAAAGCTCAAATAGAAGAGAAAAATATCCAAAGCCTCAAATACAAGAGAAAAATATCCAAAACCAAATGAAGAGAAAAATATCCAAAGCCTCAAAATGAAGAGAAAAAATATCCAAAGCCTGAAATAGAAGAGAAAAAAAATCCAAAGCCTCAAATGAGAAAAAATCCAAAGCCTCAAATAGAAGAGAAAAAAATATCCAAAGCCTGAAATAGAAGAGAAAATATCCAAAGCCTCAAAATGCAAGAGAAAAATATCCAAAGCCTGAAATTCAAGAGAAAAAAAATATCCAAAAAAAATATCCAAAGCCTCAAATAGAAGAGAAAAATATCCAAAGCCTCAAATGCAAGAGAAAAATATCCAAAGCCTCAAATAGAAGGAAAAATGTCAAACCTCCAAATTCAAGGATAAAAAAGTATCCAAGAAGCTTCAAATAGAAGAAAAAAATATCCAAAATAAATGCAAAGATAAAAATCCAAAGTCAAATTCATATCAAATTCAAGGATAAAAATATCAAAACCTCAAATAAGAAAAAAATATCAGAAACCTCAAATGCAAGATAAAAAATATCAAATACTCAAATCAAGAAAAAAATGTCAAAGCCTCAAATGCAAAAAAATATCCAAAATTCAATAAAGATAAAAATATCAAAACCCTGGAAATTCAAGAAAAAAAATATCAAAAACTATCAAATAGAAAGAAAAAAATATCAAAACCTCAAACACAAGATAAAAAAAATATCCAAACTTCAAATGCAAGAAAAAAATATCCAAAGCCTCAAATGCAAGAAAAAATATCAAAACTCAAATAGAAAAAAAATAATCCAAAGTCTCAAATGCAGAAATAAGAGTCTAATAAACAAAATGCAAGAAAAAATTTCCGTTTGAATCTAAGGCAAAAAAAGAATCCATTGGAGTCTCGAATGCAAGGGAGAAAAGAATCCAAAAACCTTGAATGGAAGGAAAAAATATATCTATGTCTCTCCAGTACAAGGCTAAAAAGAATCCAGAGCAAATTCAAAGGCAAAAAGTTCAGATGTTCAAACTCAAGGGAAGAATTAATTGATAGGCTTAGATATAAGAGAAAAAAAAGAAAGCCTCAAATGCAAGAGAAAAATATCCAAAAGTCAATGGAAAATAGAGACAAAAATATCCAAAAGGATCCAAATTTGAATGGAAAAAAATAATCCAAAGCCTCAAATAGAAGAGAAAAAATATCAAATACTCAAATGGAAGAAAAATATCCAAAGCCTCTAATGCAAGAAAAATATCCCAAACCTGAAATTCAAGATAAAAATATCCAAAAACCTCAATAGAAAAAAATATCAAAACCTCAAATGAAGAGAAAAATATCCAAAACTTCAAATACAAGATAAAAATATCCAAAGCTTCAAATGTAAGAGAAAAAATATCAAAACCAATGAAAAAAAGAAAAAAAATATCCAAAGAGAGAAATCAAAAAAAAAAAGAAAGAAAAAATATCCAAAGTAATGAAGAGAGAAAATAAAAAATAAAGAAAGAAAATATCCAGCTAAAATAAGAAGAAAAATATAAAAAACCTCAAAAAAGAAGAAAATATCAAAAATGAAGAGAGAAAATATAGAAACAAATGAAAAAAAAAAGAAAGTAAAAATATCCAAAGCCTCAAATGAAGAGAGAAAAAATAAAAACAATGAAAAAAAGAAAGAAAATATCCAAATGAAGAGAGAAAATATAAAAAACCTCAAAAAAAAAAAGAAAAAAAATATCCAAAGCCATGAAGAGAGAAAATATAAAAAAAATATCAAAAGAAAGAAAAATACCAAAGCAATGAAAATATCAAAAACTGAAAAAAAAAGAAAGAAAAATATCCAAAGCAATGAAGAGAGAAAATAGAAAACAATGAAAAAAAGAAAGAAAAATATCCAAAATAAAGAGAAAAAATATCCAATAATGAAAAAAAAAGAAGAAAATATCCAAAAAATATCCAGAGAAAATATAAAACAATGAAAAAAAAAAAAGAAAATATCCAAATATGAAGAGAGAAAACATAGAAACAATGAAAAAAAAAAAAATCCAAATATCCAATTCCAAGAGAAAAATATAGAAAAACAATGAAAAAAAAAAAGAAAGAAAATATCCAAAGCAAATAAGAGAAAAAATAGAAACAATCCAAAAAAAGAGAGAAAATATCCAAAGTAATAAAAAAAATATCAAAAACAATCAAAAAAAAAAAAAAAAAGATCAAAATATCCAAAGCAATACAAGAGAAAAATATAGAAAACCATAAAAAAAAGAAAAAATGTCAAAAGCCTCCAAATGGAATATAGAAAAATAAAAAAAGAAAAGAAAATACCAAAGATAAAAAAATATCCAAAAGCTTCAAATTCAAAAAGAAAAAATATCCAAAGCCTCAAATAGAAGAGAAAAAATATCCAAAACCTCAAAAAAAAGAAAAAAAATCAGCATCCAATGAAGAAAAATATCCAAAACAAAGAAAAAAAAAATATCAAAATATCCAAGAAATTCAAAGAGAAAAATATAGAAAACAATCAAATAAAAAGAAAAAAGAAAGAAAAATATCCAAAGTAATGAAAAAATAAAGAAAAATAAAAAAGAAAAAATATCAAAAGCCTGAAGAGAGAAAATAAAAAATATCAAATGAAAAAAAAAAAAGAAAAAAAATATCAAAACCTCAAAATGAAAGAAAAAAAAAAAGAAAGAATAAATATCAAAGCAATGCAAGAGAAAAATATCCAAAACAATGAAAAAAAAAAAGAAAAAAATATCAAAAGCAATGAAGAGAGAAAAATATCCAAAAAAAAAAGAAAGAAATCCAAATAAATAGAAGAGAAAAATATCCAAACAATGAAAAAGAAAGAAAATATCCAAAGCTTCAATGAAGAGAAAAAATATAGAAAAACAAATGCAAAAAAGAAAAAAATATCCAAAGCAATGAAGAGAGAAAATATAGAAAACAAGGAAAAAAAAAAAAAAGAAAATATCCAAATTCAAGAGAAAATAAATAATCAAAAAAAATAGAAAAAAATATCCGAAATTAAAGAAAAATATCCAAACAATGAAAGAAAAAAAAAAACCTGAAATCCAAAGTTAAATTCAAGAGAAAATATCCAAACAAATAAAGATAAAAATATCCAATTTAAAATGAAAAATATGTAAATTGTGTTAAACAAGAGTTAAAATATCTGAACCTGAATTCAAGAGAAATGAGATTCTTTCAACAAATAGAAGAGAAAAAAATATCCTATTCTTCCTATAAGAGAAAAAAAAATATCCAAATCATATTCAAGACAAAAAATATCCAAAGCCCACAAATTGAAGAGAAAAATATCCAAAGTTGTCTTTTTCTTAAAAATATCCATAGTTAAATAGAAGATAAAAAATGTTACCATTTTAGTAGCATCACTTACATTTTGCAAAAAAAATTTTATATTGTGGTAGAAGATAAAAAATCCTGCCTCAAAGCTACAAAGTATGAAATTAGAGAGAAGAAAAGCTCAATGTTTTGTCAAAAAGTTTCACAATTGTGACCTTGTTCCAAAATATCTAAAAAAAATTACCAAAGCATAAAGTCCAAGAAAAAATCACAAAGTGGAAAGGCAACATTAACTAAAAATATTTGCCTGAAATTAAGAGAAAAAATATGAACAGTTTATATATAAAGAAAAATACCTACCCAAATGCAGAAAAAGGCCCAACGCTCAGCCGTAAAAGAGAGAAAAATATTCAAAACTCTGAAATTTTATAAAATTTCAAAGCTGGTGAAATAGAAGAGAAAAAATATTCAAAGCTCACCGAAGACAAAATATTCAAAGAAAAGAAGAGAAAAATATTCAAAGCCAATTTAAGAGAAAAATAAAAGCTAAAATTCAAATTTGTTCTGGAATATTTTTATCTGTGCCTCAACAAAGATCTATCCAAATGTAAACTGTTGAACCAAAAAAGGCCTCAACAGAAGAGAAAAATATTCCAAAGAAATTAAAAAAATATCCAAACCTTTTAGAAGAGAAAATAAAAATGAAAAAAAATATCCAAAGACAAGCCATGGTAAAGTATCCAAAAACCTGAAATTAAGATAAAAGACAACTTGAAGTGAAAAATATCCAAAGCCTCAAATAGAAGAGTTGGTATCCAAAATTGAAAAAATTCAATTTGGGAAATATCCAAAGTACAAACAAGATAAAAATATCCAAAGAAATGAAAAAAATATCCAAAAGATCAAATGAAGAGAAAAAATATCCAAAGGCTCAAATACAAGATAAAAAATATCCCAAACCTCAAATTCAAGAAAAAATATCCAAAGCCTCAAATAGAAGAGAAAATATCCAAACCTCAAATAGAAGATAAAATATCCAAAGCTTGAAATTCAAGAGAAAATATCCAAAAGCAAATGTAAGAGAAAAAATATCCAAAGCCTCAAATAGAAGATAAAATATCCAAAACCCCAAAAAGATAAAATATCCAAAAGCTGAAATTAAAAAAATATCCAAAGTCTCAAATAGAAGAGAAAATTATCCAATTACTCCAAATAGAAATGAAGAAAAAATATCCAAAGAATCAAATAGAAGAGAAAAATATCCAAAAAATAAAAAAAATCCAAAAGCCCTCAAATACCTAAAAAAAAAACTCCAAAGTCTTCAAATACAAGAGAAAAATATCCAAAAGCCTGAAAATTAAGAGAAAATTTTCAAAGCCTGAAATAAGAGAAAAATATCCAAAGCCTCAAATAGAAGAGAAAAAATATCCAAAACCTGGAAATAGAAGATAAAAAATATCCAAAGTTAAATACAAGAGAAAAATGTCCAAAGCCCCAAAGAAGAGAAAATATCCAAAGCCTGAAATTAGAGAAAAATATCCAAAAGCCTCAAAAAATATCAAGAGAAAAATATCCAAAGCCTGAAATAGAAGAGAAAAATATCCAAAGCTCAAATCAAGAGAAAAAATTAGAAAAGCCTCAGAGAAAAAATATCCAGCCTCAAATAGAAGAGAAAAATATCCAAAGCTTGCTTCAAGATAAAAATATCCAAATGTCAAAACTATCAAATGCAAGAAAAAATATCCAAAGCCTCAAATGCAAGAGAAAAATATCCAAAACCTCAAATAGAGAAAAAATATCAAAAGCCTCAAATAGAAGATAAAAAATATTTAAAATAGAAAGAGAGAAAAAAAGAGAAAATATCAAAGCCTCAAACAGAAGAGAAAAATATCCAAAACCTCAAATGAAGAGAAAAATATCAAAGCCCAAATTCAAGATAAAAAATATCCCAAACCTCAAATTCAAGATAAAAATATCCAAAGCCTGAAATTCAAGAAAAAAATATCCAAAACCTCAAATAGAAGAGAAAATATCCAAAGCTTCAAATACAAGAAAAAATATCCAAAACTCAAATCAAGAATCCAAAGCCTCAAATAGAAGAAAAAATAAAACCCCAACAAAGATTCAAAAGAAAAAATATCCAAAGAAGAGAAAATATTCCTCAAATGTAGAAAAGAAAAGGATAAAAATATCCAACCTCAAAACAAGAGGCAAATCATCCAAAACCTCAAATTTAAGAGAAAAAACACAAAAGCCCTCAAATTTGAAGAAAAAAAATTGAAACCGGGGGGCTTGGGTTTAATGTCCAAAAGCCTCAAATAAGAAGAAAAATATCCAAAGCCTTAAATTCAAGAAAAATATCCAAAGCATTAAAATTAAGAGAAAAATATCCAAAGCCTCAAATTTTATTATAAAATTATCAAAATTTTAAATTTAATAAATATTTATAAAAAATCTTTTGGGGTAAATGCAAGAGAAAAAATATCCAAAGGGGACAAACAGAGAAAAATATCCATTATGTTTTGTAGAGAAAAATATCCAAAGCCTTTTACTGCAAGATGAAAAAATATCCAAAGCCTCAAATAAAAGAGAAAAAATATCCAAAGCCTCAAATAGAAGAGAAAAAATATCCATCAAATAGAAGATAAAAATATCCAAAGCTAAATTCAAGATAAAAATATCCAAAGCAAGAAGAAAAATATCCAAAGCCTCAAATAGAAGAGAAAAAATATCCAAAGCCTCAAATACAAGATAAAAAATGTCAAAAAAAAATTCAAGAAAAAATATCCAAAGCCATCAAATAGAAGATAAAAAACATCCAAAGCCTTAATTTAAGAGAAAAATATCCAAAACCTACAAATTCAAGATAAAAAATATCAAAATAGAAGAGAAAATATCCAAAGCCTTAATGCAAGAGAAAAAATATCCAAATCTTGTTGTAGAAGATAAAAAATGTCCAAAGCTCAAATTTTCATCAAATGTCCAAAAGCCTCCAAATTCAAGAGAAAAAAATATCCTCAAAACTGAGAAAAATATCCAAAGCCTGAAAAAAAATATCCAAAAACCTGAAAATTCAAGATAAAAAAACTCCAAAAGGCCAAAATTCAAGAGAAAAAATATCCAAAGCCTCAAATAGAAGAGAAAAATATCCAAAGCCTCAAATAAGATAAAAATATCCAAAAGCATCAAATACTTATCAAAAAATATCCAAAGCCCCAAATTAAGAGAAAAAATATCCAAAGCCTCAAATAGAAGAGAAAAAAATCCAAAACCTGAAATTCAAGATAAAAAAATATCCAAAGCCTCAAGAGAAAAATATCCAAAGACAAATAGAAGAGAAAAATATCCAAAGCCTGTGCCTAGGTAAGATTAAATATCCAAACCAAATGCAAGAGAAAAATATCCAAAACCTGAAATTGAGAAAAAAATATCCAAAGATCTTGAAATGCAAAAGAAAAATAAATGCAAAGAAAATGTCCTGAAATTTAAGATAAAAATATCCAAAGCATCAAATAGAAAGAGAAAAATCCATCCAGAAATGAAAGCTCGAAATTTAAGAGGAAAAATATCCAAAGCCCAAATAGAAGGAAAAAAATATCCAAAGCCTCAAATAGAAGATAAAAAATATCCTAAAGCCTCCAAGAAGAGAAAAAATATCCAAAGCCTCAAATAGAAGAGAAAATAAAGAACAAATGCAAGAGAAAAATATCCAAAACCTCAAATAGAAGAATCAGAAAAAAATTCCAAAGCCTCAAATAAAGAAAAAAAAAAAATTCAAGAGAAAAATATCCAAAGCCTAAAATTCCTATCCAGCCTCAAATGCAAAAAAAATATCTGTTTCAAATAGAAGATAAAAATATCCAAAGGACTGGAAATTCAAGAGAAAAATATCCATCTCAAAACCACAAATACAAGATATAAAAAAATCCAAAGCCTCAAATAGAAGATAAAATATCCAAAGCCTCAAATATCCAAAACCTGAACTGCAGGTGCAAAATATCCAATGCTGTCAAATGGCAGAAAAAAATATCCAAAGCTTCAAATAAAAGAGAAAAAGTGTCAAAGTGGCAAATCAGAAGAGAAAAATATCCAAAAGCCTCAAATTATGTGAGAAAAATATCCAAAAGCCTCAAACACAAGAGAAAAAAAGCATAAATCAAGAAAAAAATTCCAAAGCTCAAATAAAAGAAGAAAAATATCCAAACCTCAAATAGAAGAGAAAAATATCCAAAGCCTGACAAATAAAGAGAAAAATATCCAAAAGCAAATCAAAATTAGATAAAAAATATCCAAAGCTTCAAATGCAAGATAAAAACATCCAAAGCTTTAAATAGAAGAAAAAAAAATATCCAATATGCCGTCAAATAGAAGAAAAATATCCAAAGCCCTCAAATAGGAGAGGAAAATATCCAAAGTCTGAAATTAAAGAAAAAAATATCCAACTCACCAAAATTCAAGAGAGAAAAATATCCAAAGCTGAAATTAACAGAAAAGATCCAAGGGAAAAAAATATCAGTGTATTAAATATAAGAGAAAAAAATATCCAAAGCCTATTAATGCAAGAGAAAAAAATATCCAAAGCCTGAAATAGAAGAGAGAAAAAATTTCAGAAAAAATCAAAGCCAGGAATTCAAGAGAAAAATATCCAAAACCCAAATGGAAGAGAAAAATATCCAAAGCTCTCAAATAGAAGATCTGAAATATTACAAAGCCCTCAAATGGAAATGAGGAAAAAATATCCAAAGCCTCAAATACAAGAGTTAAATATCCAAAGCTTCAAATGGAAGAGAAAAATATGCCAAATAGAAGAGAAAAACACCAAAGCCTGAAATTCAAGAGAAAAATGCACAAACCTCAAATAGAAGAGAAAACATTCAAAAGGTTGAAATTCAAGAGAAAAAATGGTCCAAAGACCAAATTCAAGAGTAAAATATCCAAAGACTCAAATTACAGATGTTATCCAAAGCCTAGAAGACCAGCCTTAAATCATAAAAAAATTCCAAATTCTGAAATTAAGAAAAATTCCAAAGAGGAAAAATATCCAAAGAAAAAGAGAAGATAAAAAATCCAGTCAAATTACAAGTATAAAATATCCAAGCTCAAATGGTAAGAGAAAAATATCCAAAACCTACAAATTTAAGAGAAAAATTTCCAAAGCCTCCAATAGAAGTGAAAAATATCCAAAATCAAATGAAGAGAAAAAAAGAAAGCCTCAAATTCAAGAGAAAAAATATCCAAAGTTTGCAAAAGAAAAAAAAAGAGAAGAAAATATCCAAAGCCTTGGGTACAGAAGATAAAATTATCCAAAGCATTTCCACCAAGAAGAAAAAATATCCAAAGCCACAAAGTAGAAGAGAAAATATCCAAAAGAAGAAATTAGAAGAGAACCCAATATCCAAAACCTGAAATTCAAGATAAAAAATATCCAAAGCCTCAAATAGAAGAGAAAAAGGATCCAAAGCCTCAAATTCAAGAGAAAAATATCCACCCTAAAAAGAAGAGAAAAAATATCCAAAAGCAGTAAATAGAAGATTAAAAAAATTTAGAAAAAATAGTAAGAGAAAATATTGTGCCTCAAAGAGACAAAGAAAAGAAAAGTCAAATAGAAGAGAAAATATCCAAAACCATGTAATTAAGAGAAAACACTCCAAAGTTGCAACTCAAATCTAAGAGAAAAATATCCAAAAATCCTGGAAATTAAGAGAAAAAATATCCAAAAGCCAAAAGAAGAAAAAATATGAAAATTCTAGAAGAGAAAAATATCCAAAGCTTCTAATAGAAAAAATATCCAAACCTGAAAATAAAATATCAAAGCTGTTCAAGAGAAAATGGCTTACTCAAATACAAAAGAAAAAATATCCAAAGCTTCAAATAATTCAGAAAAATATCCAAAAGACACAAATAGAAGAGAAAAAATATCCAAAGCCTCAAATGGAAGAGAAAATATCCAATGCCTCAAATAGAAGAGAAAAATATCCAAAGCCTATAAAAAGAAAAAATATCCAAAACCTGAAGAAGAAGAAAAATATCCAAAGCCCTATATAAGAGAAAATATCCAAAACCTGAAATTTTATTAAAAATATCCAAAGCCTTGAATGTCAAGATAAAATATCCAAAAGCCAAATAGAAGAGAAAAATATTTAAAGGAAAATAGAAGAGAAAAAATATCCAAAACCTCCAAAGAAGAAAAAAATATCCAAAGCCTGCAAAAGAGAAAAATATCCAAGGCCCAAATAGAAGAGAAAAAATATCCAATCTGACAAATGAATTAAGATAAAAAATATCCAGCTCTCAAATGTTAGAAAAAATATCCAAAGCCAAATAGAAGATAAAATATCCAAAGTTTAAACACTAGAAAAATATCCAATGCCTCAAATTCAAGAGAAAAATATCCAACGCCCAAATGCAAGAGAAAAAAAATCAAAACCTAAACAAAGAGAAAATATCCAAAGTATAAATTCAAGATAAAAATATCCAAAGGCTCAAATAGAATTAGAGAAATCCAAAGCCTCAAAGGAGATAAAATATTATAAAAATAAAATAATATGAAAAATATCCAATGAAACAAATTTAAGAGAAAATATCCAAAGCCTCAAATGCAAGAGAAAAGTAGAAAACCTGAAATTAAGATAAAATTTCGGCCCTTATAAAAAAAATATCCAAAGCCTCAAATAGAAGAGAAAAATTATCCAAAGCCTGAAATACGGCAAAAATGCAAAGCTCAAATTAAAAGAAAATTTCCAAAGCCTCAAATAGAAGAGAAAAAATATCCAAAACTATCAAATGCAAGAGAAAAATATCCAAACCTGAGAAATTCAAGAGAAAAAAAAGATTGGTAGAAGAGAAAAATAATCCAGCTCAAATAGAAGAAAAAACATCCAAAGCAAGGGAAATTAAAGAAAAAAAAATAACGCCTCAAATCAGAGAAAAAATCGAAATTCAAATAGAAGAGAAAAAATATCAAAACCTCAAATTCAAATTCAAGAGAAAAATATCCAAAGCCTCAAATAGAAGAGAAAAAATTTAAAGCCTCAAATGCAAGAGAAAAATATCCAAAACCTGAAATTCAAGATAAAAAAATTCCAAAGCTTTGTAATGCAAGAGAAAAAATATCCAAAAGCCATAAATAGAAGATAAAAAAATCCAAAGCAAATATAAGATAAAAAATATCCAAAGCAGAAATTCAAAGAAAAAATATCCAAAGCTCAAATTTAAGAGAAAACAATTCAAAAGCAAATGCAAGAGTCTAATATCCAAACCTGGAAATTCAAATAAAAAATATCCAAAACCTCAAATAGAAGAGAAAAATATCCAAAGCCAAATCGAAGATAAAAATATCCAAAAATAAATTCAAGAGAAAAATATCCAAAGCTTCAAATAAAGAGAAAAATATCCAAAACCTGAAATTTTAGAGAAAAATATCCAATGTCTCAAACTCAGAGAAAATATCCAAAACCTGGGCTATGAAGAGAAAATATCCTAAAAATAGAAGAAAAATATCCAAAAGCTCAAATTTAAGAGAAAAAATATCCAAAGCCTTAAAAAAGAAAATAAAAAAGCCTGAATCCAAAGAAGAGAAAAAATATCCAAACCTCAAATGAAAAACACCAAAGAAATAAAAAAAATATCCAAAG